GGGCGGGGCGGAGCGCGCTGCAGTCTGCCCTGCGCCCACCGGACGGGGCGGAGCGCGGCAGGCCGGGACGGCTCAGGGGTGCCCGGGGTTTTGTCAGGTCCCCATCGCCCCCCGGGCCGATTTGTGAGATTCACCCCGTGCATCCGGGTCTATATTCGAGGGGCGACGAGCCCCAAGCCCCGCGCAGCCCGGCCCCGTCGCGGCGTTTCGGTTCCACCCGTCTCCCGGAGCATCCCGTGTGCGAGCGGGAACCGGCAGAGCCGCCCGGCGCCGTCAGACCGGTTCTCAGTGCCCTCGGCTGCAGCCGGCCCCTGCCCGGGGAGCAGTAACGGCTCCACCTGGGAAGGATCTCCGTGTGCTTCCTGGGCGTTATTGCAGGACACGGAGTGAGATGCCAGCGCGGGTGCCCTATATGTCCTCTCACGCCCCCCAGCTCAGCACAGAGGGACACTGCCAGGGACCTCTGCAGTCGCCAGGGACACGGTGCCTTCTTACGTTGGATATTAAGACAAGGTTCTTCCCCCGAAGGGTGATCAGGCAGTGAACAGGTTCCCCAGGGAATGGGCACAGGCCCAAGGTTGCCAGAGCTCCAGTAGCATTTTGACAGTGCTCTCAGACACATGGTGGGATTGTTGGTGTGTCCTGTGCAGGGCCAGGAGCATGACTCCGTGGTCCTTGTGGGTCCCTTCCAACTCAGGGTGTTATAGGATTCAGTGACCTCCATCAGCTACCACCACACTGGGGTTAATGTGGTGGAGAGCACAAGGTGGCATTTGGGACTGGGAGCAGGAGGGGACCTGGTACTGCAGAGCTGGAGACAGGGAGCACAGAGTGCCATCAGCTCACTGGCACAATGAAAGTGCTGCAGGCAGCCCCCCAGGCCAGAATTGCACCACGCTCCAGTGCCAGGCCCAGTGCCTCGCAGCTGGCGGTGTCCCGGGGATGCAGCCATGTAAGGCAATGCCAGCAGGTCACCGCAGCCCAGCTGGTCCCCACACTCCTGCTCGGTGGTGACAGCAAGCCAGCTCCCAGCTGCTGGATTCCTGAGCAGCCAGAAGAAGTGGGGGGGTTCCCCTGTACCCAGAGCATGTTCTGCCCCCGGCACACCCCCCCAGCCAGGTCAGGGCTCAGCATTCACTCAGTGACAGGTTCGGGACAAAGACATAATGGGATAAATACGTAAACAACAGGAGATTGAATCAAGTAATAAATTGAATAAGTAAACAATGCCAGGCACAGTCTATGTGGGAGTAGAACTTGGTGCATCGGGAGCCATGTTGGCTTGTGGAGGGTTAGGGGAAGCTGAGTTGTCCCAGGAAATATTCCCTGCAGCTCCTTCAGCCCCAAGCCAGGCCAGTTTCTGTGACACCCTTCCTTTGTCCTGTTCTTGTGGGGCCATTTGCAGGCCTCACAGGGTGGAAACCTGCTTGTGTTACACATTGAGCTGCAGCCTAAGGCTCTGAGCCTGCACAATCTTGCCAGCACAGGGCTTGCTTCATCCACCCATGGACACCAGCTGCCCTTTCCCCTGGAATCAGCCTTCCCGAGCTTCTGGAGCTGGGCAAGGAAGGCACAGAAACAGGGTCCCCAGGGCCCGGCCCTGGCAGAGATCAAGGTGTGTTTGGACAATGTTTTCAGGTATACAGTGGGATGGCTGGGGTGTCCTGTGCAGGGACAGGAGTTGGACATAATCCTTGTGTATCCCTTCCAGTTTGGGATACTCCACAATTCATTCCGATTCCAAGGCAGCAGTGTGGGACCAAGATGGGAGCAAAAGCCGACCCCAAGTGTACTGGGAAAAGGCCCTTTCGCACAGTGAGACCCCTGCTCTGCTGACGGGTCATGAAGAATTATTGATTCAGCAACATGAGCCAGGGCTGGGGGGTCGTGGGGAGGCCTGCAGGAAGCCATACTGACTATATAGAGCAGCACCGAGGCCACCAAGCAGCCACCGGCCAAGCAGGGACTGCACTCTGCCGGAAGACACCCTGGACGTGAGGCTGGGGGCAGCAAGAGCGTCTCTCCCGGGACTTGATGCAGCGCTCGCGCTTTCCAGCGCCCGGACGCCAACCGGCGTCTTCCTGCACACATCGTTCGTTGTGCCGCTTGCCAAGCGCTCTGGAACGCTGCTTGTGCCGAAAGAGGCTCGCCTCTTGCGGTGTACCTTCTCCGAGCTCCGCAGTCCCGCCTTCTGCCTTTCTTGGTCTTGGTGCAAGCGCAAAGCTTTTCCACTGCGTCCGACGGAGGCGAACGTGCGCCAGGACCACACATATTTGTGCAGCTGACCCCTGCCACTTAGGCAAACATGCACTTGCACCACTCTCATACACCGTTGGTGTGGCAGGCTTCTGCCTTGCACAGGGCGTTTCTCTGCATCTCCGAGCCTAAGGGAAAGCGCAAGAGTTCCCGCAGAGAGCAGCAAGAGCAGTAGGCAGCAGCACAAGGAAGCTGTGTGTCCTGGAGTGACTTGATGATACTGCTATCCCCAATCGTCAGGTTTATGTTCTAGATGAAGTTCTGTGCTTTTAAGACTGGCTCTGAGAGCGAAGGCGGGGTGGGGGAGAAGAAGAAGCGCTCAGTTTGTGTTGAAAGAAAACATCACTCCCACACATCCCACTCCTGGACTGTGGTGTCTGCAGAAGGGACAGACAGCGGGAGAGAGCTTCTCTTTGCCTTTTAGTTAGTTTTAGCTAGCTGAGGCAGAGGAGTCCCTGGGATTTTGTTTTTGCTTTCCCTTATTTCTTCCTGGATCTGTGCAAACCTCTTTTGGACTGAAAAACTCCCAGACAAATCCCGGGAGCTCACGCCTGTTGCTCACCAGGGCCTGCGCCTCAGCGCTATCCAGCGCTGGAGGGACTGAGAAGAACCTGAGCGAGCTGAGCTACACCACATGAAAAGGACTTTTCTTCCTAGGTTTGCCATCCCGTCGAACAGCGAGAGCTTTTACGGTTTAATATTGTTCAATTTCTGTTAAATAAAGAGGTTTCTCCACTCCTCTCCAAGGTAGTTGTTTGGTTTTTTTTCCCCCGGACCCGTTGGAGGGAGGGATCCTTTGAATTTTTTTTCCTGGGGAAACACCCACTTGGAGTTTTCCTCCCAAATTTGCCCTAAACTAGGACAACATGGCTGACCTTCTTCCAGACGACAGCTAGCGTCTATTCAGCAAGCGGGCGAGCGGCAGCTACCTTCCTCTTGCAGTCTGAAAGCTTCGCGCACGAGCTGTGGCTGCAAAGCACCTTCCTTATTCGCCTTCCTTGCAGCCCTCGCGCTTTCCAGCGCCTGGACACCAACCGGCATCTTCCCGCACACATCGTTCGTTGTGCCGGTTGCCAAGCGCTCAACGGAGGAGAGAGGCTGTCCCGTTGAAATGTAGAAATTACGAATTAAATATAAAGAAATGCTTGGCTAAAAGAAGGGCGGAGTTGACAAAAAACATACCCTACTCCACAAGAACAGGACAAGTGTCAGACTGCAAGATAAGATAAAGAGCTAGAACACACAAACAAGATGCAAAGACTGAGGCACCACAGGATAAGGAGACTCCTTGGATCCCTAAGCCAGAAGGAACGGATTCAAAGTCTAAAAGGTGGTCAAAAGACTGAAAGAGGCACGTGCGAAAAGACAAGAGTCCAGCTAAGGAGAAAATTGCTGAGCTCATCTCAAAGACCCCCCCAAACGACCACTGAACTGACCAGAAACGACCAGTGTGCAGCTGCAAAGGGGCGTGGAGCTAATTGTAATATGAAGCAAGGACAGGCGGGGTTAGGAAATGAATATGTATTAAGCGTATTGGGCAACCCTAGTTTGTAAAGGATAAAAGGAGAAAGCCAAACCTAAAAAGGTGTGCATGCTTTTTGGAGGAGATATCCCCCATGAGCCTCAGTGCTAAATAAATTCATACCTGCTCATATAACTACTCTGCGAGTTATAGAGTTCTTTTTCTATCCACATATCATTTTGACATGAAGCGGGGGGCGGCGGGAGCGGCTGTCCCGGGACCTGAGGCGGAGGGAGCGGCTATCCCGGGACGTGAGGCGCGGGGCGGCGGGAGCGG